CTCCAACAGAAGGCCTGAGCTAAAGATCCACTAGCAACTGGCCTTGTTTACACTAAGTAGTATACTGAATTTCCTTCTTCACAGTCCTATAATCTTGAGGCCTGTCTGCACCAGTCTGCTTTATAACAAAACGATGAAAGTTAAATCTCTAGCTAGCTTCTGTGTGTTCATGTGTCAGTGTGATAGAGAAAAAAATGACAAGGTGGCCAGAAGATGAGAGAAGGAGTTGAGACAGATTCAACTCAGGCTAATCTCGAGTCATTGTTAAGAAGAGTTCTACTTTGAAGTCATATCCACTTTCTCCTCTTTCTCAAATATATCTCCAGTTTCACATTCAAAGGCTTCCTTGTGAGGTCTGAGAAAAAGTAATTTTTACATGACTGTGCCTCAGTTCTCAATCTACAGTACTTACAACTGTGGCCATGTTAAAACAGACTGCACATTTATTTCCTCCCAAAATTCACACCCTCATGTGATGGTTTCAGTGATGGGGCCTTTGGGAGATAATTAGGATTAGATGAGATCATGAGGGTAGGACCATCATATGAGATAAGTAAGTACAAGGAGAGCTTTCACTTTGCATGTATGGTAAACTAAGGAAAGGCTACAGGAGCACACAGCAAGGAAGTACCTGTCTACAAGCCAAGATGTGGTGGGCCTTCATGGGACACCAAATTTGCTGGCACTTTGATACTGGACTTCCCAGCCTCCAGAAGTGTGAGAAATAAGCATCCTCTGGATTTTTTAAGTCTATAGCATTTTGTTATGGCAGCCTAAGAGGACTAAGATAGCCAAAAATGAAAGTTCAGTAATTTTGGCAAATATTGTTCATGAAATTACTTAAAGAGAAACATGTTATTTGTTTAACTGTATTCAAAGGGTAATGCGTGGCCAGTTTCAGCCTCAAATATCCAAGTGATGACTTAAAAAAAAAAAAAAGAAGAAGAAAAGAAAAATTGCCAAGAAGGATCCAGCAAGTGGGAAGACAAACTACTTCAGTAGATAAGAGCATCCACAAAGAAACCACAGGCTAGCAGAGAGCAAAAAGAAGCCTCTCCACTATGAGAGTCACCCATGATGTGAACAAGTAATGAATCTATGCAGCTAAACTGGACTTATGACACTGCTCAAAAGCAGTTACTCTGCCACCTAATAATCACATATTAACATTTCACTGCCACAGGACATTTTTGCTGAAAACCATAATCATTAAGATCCAAAGTACCTTATACACCAGCTAAGTTCTCAGACAACTGCACTAAGATAAAATTGTTACTAATCTAATTACATTCACTACAAAACCTGACCAAAAAGAATTTAATCACCAGCATATTTGACAGAGCCTAAGTTTTAGACATATCAGACTTGCTTAAAATGAACTATAGTAGTCCTCCTTAAAAACTACATTTCTCAATGTGCTTTTCAGTTTTCAAATTGCATCTGCTTCTTCCCTCCAACCTCAGGGTTCAAGATTCTCTGTTCAAGGCTATGTGGTTTTTCCATCCACATAAAGCTTCTGTATACTAATCTCAAGAGCACCAAGAGTTCCTTCTGAGCCTGAGGATTGTAACACAAGCAGCAGGGACTCTCCAAATTCCCCTGAGATCCACTCTGGGAAGTAATTTTTTCCAAAAGTTTAGTGGCTGCAACCCAACAGGGTTCAGCTTTGAGATCCGAAGTTTAGAGACCAACTTCATTTAGGAACCAGCCTCAGGGAGTTAGTCCCAATAAATGACTTTACTCTGTAGAACAGTTACTCCTTTGGCACTCAAAGGATTGGAGATTCTGTAATGATATCCTCATTCATAATTTCATTTTTTAAAAATCCTTACACTATTTGTAAAAGGTAAATTTCAACTTAAATTTAACAGACATTAAGCACTATGTTCCCAAAACTGTCAGCTATTCATGGCTAACCACAAAGCAAATACAATCTTTTGGAAGCTTACAATCACACAGAGAACTAAAAATAATAAAGCTGTTAAGGAATAATAAAAGGCAACGCATACATACACATTGAGCCTGCAGCTAAGCATTTTGACACACATCTATAATCCCAGCACTGAGGAGGTACAATGCAGGAAGACTGTCCTAAATTGAGTTCAACCTGGGCTACCTAATGACCACAAGGCCTAACTGAACTTTGTAGCAAAGACCCTGTCTCAAATAACAAACAATGCCTGGAGGCAAAACAGTCTACAGTCAATAGGCATGTTTTTCACAAAGGAGCTAGAACTTCAGAAAAATTCCACTTGTGTTAAGATATGAAAAAAATATGAACTTTAAAACAAGCCAACAGGGCCAGGCAGATAGCTCAGCAGCAAAGGTGTGCCTGCTTGGGAAACACAAGGACCCGAGTTTGATCCCTGGTTCTGGAAAAAATAAATAAATAAATAAATGAAACAAGTCAACATACCAAAACAGGTTGATGACACAATGAATATTAGTGTGCATTTACATGGGCCTACAGGCATTTCCAACTTGTTAAGACCATCTCCTGCAGAGCCTGTGCTCATTCAGCTCCTGTCCTCCAACAGAGTACGTACATTTCTCTCTTCACGCTTCTGTACAATTGGTTCCTCTACCCCAACCCTCTTCCCTCACATCTCTAAATAGCCCATCCCCATACATCATGAAAGGTCACCTACAAAGAGGCCCTCCCAGACCATCTTTATCGTTCTCTTTTTTTAATGGCCCTTATCAGCACCTGATAGTATTTTGTTAGTGTCTTTATTATGTATTCCCTCCTATAAGGATATTAGTTCCATGAAAGCAGGGCCTTTCTCTGTTCACTACTATATTTCAAAGGGTTGAAACAGTGCCTGGCATGTTGCAGTTGCTCAATAAATACTAGTTAAACACAAGGCCCTGAGTTCAATCCCCAGTACCACAAAAAAATAAATATGAGTAAATGAATTTTAAATAGCCACACTTTTTAACTTTTCAAGGATCTCATGTACTATAAAGACAGGGAACTTGCCTTACATTTTTTAGAAGGTACCTTAGTTATTTTATACAAATACTTTGCTTTACAACTAAGGAAACAGGCCCCCAACCAAGGGCTTATCCCAGGTCAAAGTAGCCAACTGAAGGCAAGGAGCTAACTCAGGGATGAGCTAACTCAAAAATGAGCATATATAAAATGAAAAATGAAGAACACCCATACATATGTAGAGTGAGTGAAAACAGCATTTCCTAGGGGATAGTTCGAAATTATCTAACTGTACCTAAAGGACCTAATCCATTCCTTCCTCTGCACAACCCCTGGAGTACTATTACACTGCTCCATTTCCAAGTATCACTACCTCCAGCCAATGTGAAAGCGACCAGCAAATAAATAGGCCTTAGGAAGAAAAAAGTAGGAGGGTCTCATTGTTAACTGTAATTACCGGAAATAATAAATGAATACACACATACATAATTACATGCATATAACCAAATGAAACATGCTAATCAGCACCTCTACCTGGTCTTCTCTCCTCCACCTCACCTGAAGTCTCCCTATATTCCTCTACATTTTAAGTTCTAATAAGAAAAAAAGCAAGCAATGAAACAAATCCAAAAATAAACTCCAAGAGGGTCACATTACCCAAACCAACAGAAATAACAGAGGACTCTAAAAAGGAGAGCAAGAGGCACACAACAAACATGCCAGGCTTAAGTACAGCTCCATCTCTAACACAGGAAGTCAGGCAAAACCTTAACAAGCAGACAGCAGAGCACAGGAAGTCTTTCAGCACTGCAGAGATTTCCAAGAGTGGTGTAATGGAGAGAGGACAGGAATAAATATTAGAAGACCAGGCTCTTAGTTCCAGTTTTACAGTCAGTTAACTAAATGTCCTTAAGCAAATCACTGGTCTTCCCTGGATTTTTGATTCTTCTACTAGAAAATGGGGTGGTTAAAACATAGTGGGACTTGAATCCTCCCAAAACAATGATGAAAACTCTTGATTCTGCTCCACCAAAAAGTGCAGATAAACTCTTCTGCCTAAGAACCTCCCAAAACTATCTGAGTTAAGAACCCCTGGAAAAAATAATGGCTCTAGTCCCTTCTAACATTCTGTGCTTCTAAGAGAAGCAGATGTCTATACATAGTTGTTGCTGGGCCAGTCTCACCATTTATAGAAACTCTCTTGCCAAAAGACAGCAAATCCTAAAAACTAGGAAGGCTTCAAGCCCCTCAAAGCGACTGATTGATGAATACCGCTCCAAATCCCCACTGAAATCAACCAGTTTATGCTTCAATCTGTAACTAGTAATCCAATCTTCCAGCAACCCTATAAATCTTGTGCGCCCTGGGGCATTACAAAGCTACTGAGTGTTACAGCCACGTAGGACACAACAAAGTGTGAGAGGGACATGTCCTGTGTCGTTCTCCAGGCTCATTAGCATGCTCCACAAAATGTCACTGGGCATCACGGTGTCCCCAAACCACTACCAAACTCCGTATACTTCTCACACTCTCTGTACAACTGATTCAACCCACAACCTAAGCCACATCCCCTTTAGGCTCTCTCTCGAGGAGTTTTCTGGCTTTTCACACCTCTCCTTCAAATGCCGCTTCCCTTTCCCACCCCAGCATGTGCCCAGAGCTGCCCAAAAAGTACTCTTTCTTTTCGGGAGGTTTCCCACCAGATCCCTCATCCAAAGCTCGGCCAGAGGTTCTCCTCTGGGCAACAGTCCCAAAATTTCCTGATTTCTCAAAGAACGAAGAAAGGGTTCAATGAAATGGACTCCATCCCAATGAAGCTCGACTTCCCACCAAAACCTCTCCGCTCGCGCTGCCTCCTCGGCCCCTCTCGGGCACACACAACAGGACCCCTCTGCATCCCTTGCCTCCAAGCCCGAGCTCGCCCCACCTTCCAGCCAGACTCCGACCCACCCCTTCCCACCCCGGACCCCCGGAGCCCTCCCCCCAGTCCACACCGGGAAGCCCGGGTCGCCCCTCCGGCCCCGCCCCGCGCCCCACGGTAACCAGGCGTCCCGTCCCGCGCGGTCACCTGCATCCCGCCGCCGCCGTCCGCAGTCGCCTCCTCGGTGCGCGGCCGCTTGCTCAGGCCGGGCTCGTCTCCGTCTCCTCCCGCTCCGGGAACCGGCAGCTCCAACTCCGACTCCCGCTTCATGCCCCGGGCGGCAGCGCCGGGCCCGAGCTGTGGCGGCTGCTGCGGCTGGGCACCTTCCGCCATCCGCCCGCGCCCCCCTCGCCTCCGGGAGCCGGGCGACCAGCGACAGGCCACCTCCCCCTGGGCCTCGGCCCCGACAGTCGCGACAGGC